TGTAGATGAGTGTAAACTGCAGCATTCTGACCTGATGATGTAGCTCGTCTGTGCTGGCTCATTCTTTTGAAAAGAGCCACTGTTCAAAAGAATGAGCCAGTGCAGATGAGCTACTTCGTTGGGTCAGGACTCTGCAGTTTACACTCATCTACAGGCCAGCGGTCACTCTTTCAGGGATGAAGATGTTCTCATCCTTGATAGAGAGGAACGTTGGTTTGAGAGAGGAGTAAAGGAAGCAATTTTTGTGAAGAAAGACCGTCCACCATTAAACAGAGGTGGAGACCTTCGTGTCCAGTTGTCCTCCTCCTACAATGCTGTTATTGCAAGTAAGGCTATGTTCACACTGCAGGCAAATCCGACCCAAATCAGATTTTTTTGCCCCATCTGACCCATATCAGATTTTTTTTGACAGTCTGAACACGACAAATCTGATTTTTTCGAATCCGACCCAGGCCGTTTCAGTATGTGGTTTTAAATTGGAGACATATCTGATGTTTTCAAAGTGACTGCAGTGTGAACGCTCATGTCACATTTCATCTGACTTTTTCATCAGGAGGAGGGGGTGAAGGATCGATAAGACACTAACCTCAAGTCTCGCTGTTTAAATCTGTAGCTCCATGTGTTTACATCTCCAAAGCAGAAGTCCAGTTGCTTCGTCTTTTTACATTTAATTTTCCATGTAGATAGTAACATCCAGCCTGGGTCGCGGAGCGTATTGATCCTAAAGTTACTCGGTCGATACTTTTTTCCAGCTCGTTCGTTCAAAATTAAAAAGCTTCACAGGAGCATCCTGGTCAGAGTCAGGTTCAGATATAAACACTGAACTAAAGAAGCGTCAGATAATTATTTAATCAGCTCTGATTAAACAACAACTTCAGAGTCGACGTGCAAAAAGTGGCATCCATGCTAGGTTAGCTCTGTAAACAAACAAGCCGGCTGATGAGATGGGACGTCTTTTACTGCGCATGCGTCTGATGCAGGTCGCATTTAAAATGTAATGTGAACATTCACACCAAAAGATCGGATTTAAAAAAAAAAATCGGAATTGAGCATTAAGACCTGCAGTGTGAACGTAGCCTATGACTCAGCCCCCTGTGAGCAAAAGGTGTGAATCAGGGCCCCAATGATAGTCAGGTGATGGGGCACATGACCCTCTATRAACATTAGAGCCAGTCAAGGCACTAACGACCTATCGTTAGGCTGATGGCCCTCTTTAACATGTGACTAACCTGTTTGTCCACCATGTGGAGGCAGTGCTTRTAAGGCTGAGTTCACCTGAAACTCCTCAGGCTGAAGTCTCTTGGAGGAGAGATGAAATGTTTCACTAAAGAAGAACCTGTCTGGGGACTTACTTATTTTAGATTTTTCTACCTGGATTACTGAGATGCATCAGGACAGTAAAGGAGGCAGCATCCAGCAGCCACTCATAAAACAGAAAATAATTATTCTTTTAATCCAGGAGTCRGGAAAGTGGATGAGAAATTATTTACTTTGAGAGCTCCAGTTAAAGGTGGAGTTTTATAAGTGAAATACAGTATGTTAATTGTTGGAACAACCTCTAAAATCCTAACTGTTGCATTTAGGGAATAAAAGTGACCAACTAACTGGGAGCCATCTGCTTTAACTGGTGGTGATTGTGGTTTCACTGTGGAGATGAGTGCATATTTCTAGATGTTATCTTGGAAAATCATCTCTCCACATCCGGCATTAAATGTCATTCAGATTACATCAGTCAGTTTGTGATTCTAATGTCCCTACCCATGCAAAACAAAAAATATTAACAGTGCATGAAATACTCAAGTATTCACTACGTCACTCCCATTATGAGATTTTTCATATTTGAAAATAATTTATGGACTGTTGTGAGGCAATGGAACAATAAATAACTAGCAGGTCTGGTAATACAGACAAACAAGACAGACAAAATATATAGAATCAATGCAAAACCCATAATGTGTTTTTCACATTTGATCATTAATTGCATTAATATTCATTACACTACTATGGAAGCCCATTTCCGCCACCCTGATAAAAAAATAAAACTTGTATCTCATAATTATGACTTAGCTATCTC